CTATGCTCTCATTAGCCCATCTATCCTCCAATAGCTGTTTATATCTTACCCTAACTGCCTCCTCTTTTAGTTTATAAACCTTCACCTCTCTCTTCCTGATGCTTCTATTCTCCTTGTATCCATCTACCTTTTACTCTCAGTGTAGCTACAACTAGAAAGTGATCTGATATATCTGTGGCCCCTCTATAAACATGTACATTCTGAAGTCTACTCAACAGTCTTTTATCTACCAATACATAATCCAACAAACTACTGTCATTTCGCCCTACATCATATCGTGTATACTTATTTATCCTCTTTTTCTTAAAATATGTATTACCTATAACTAAACCCCTTTCTATACAAAGTTCAATCAAAGGGCTCCCATTATCATTTACACCTGGCACCCCAAACTTACCTACCACACCCTCTCTAAAAGTTTCTCCTACTTTAGCATCAAGTCCCCTACCACAATTACTCTCTCACTTGGTTCAAAGGCTCCTATACATTCACTTAACATCTCCCAAAATCTCTCTCTCTCCTCTGCATTCCTCTCTTCTCCAGGTGCATACACGCTTATTATGACCCACTTCTCGCATCCAACCTTTACTTTAATCCACATAATTCTTGAATTTACACATTCATATTCTCTTTTCTCCTTCCATAACTGATCATTTAACATTACTGCTACCCCTTCCTTTGCTCTAACTCTCTCAGATACTCCAGATTTAATCCCATTTATTTCCCCCCACTGAAACTCTCCTACCCCCTTCAGCTTTGTTTCGCTTAGGGCCAGGACATCCAACTTCTTTTCATTCATAACATCAGCAATCATCTGTTTCTTGTCATCCGCACTACATCCACGCACATTTAAGCAACCAGTTTTATAAAGTTTTTCTTCTTCTCTTTTTTAGTAATTGTATACAGGAGAAGGGGTTACTAGCCCATTGCTCCCGGCATTTTAGTCGCCTCATACGACACGCATGGCTTACGGAGGAAAGATTCTTTTCCACTTCCCCATGGACAATAGAAGAAATAAAAAAGAACAAGAGCTATTTAGAAAAAGGAGAAAAACCTAGATGTATGTATATATATATATGCATGTGCGTGTCTGTGAAGTGTGACCAAAGTGTTAGTAGGAGTAGCAAGATATCCCTGTTATCTTAGCGTGTTTATGAGACAGAAAAAGAAACCAGCAATCCTACCATCATGCAAAACAATTACAGGTTTTTGTTTCACAGTCATCTGGCAGGACGGTAGTACTTCCCTGGGTGGTTGCTGTCTACCAACCTATATTTATGCTAGGGAAGTGACCCCTAAAGTGACCTAGTCACTATGGAGGGGGATTCCCCTTCCAAACAATAACCTCTCTTCCCTCTCTCCTCCTCCGTCTTCCATTCATCAACAACAGCCTTCAATAAAGGTAACTGTCATGTTGAATGTTCATTCTTTTGTGCATGTAAATCTATCTTAGGTGTCTGGAACGAATTAATTGGAAAATTGATTCGAAAATCGTCTATTTTGATAATAGTCCCACTTCCAGGAACGGATTAAGGACGATAATTGAGGGACCACTGTAACTGAATATGTTGAGAAGTTGTTGCTAGTGTGGATCAAACAAAAAGAGTTAGCAGAAGATAGTGTTACACAGTCGATAATTTGCGAAAAGGCAAGGCAGTTGCATGATGATCTCTTAAAGAAAAGGCCTGGAACGAGTGCTGATGTAGGTGAATTCAAGGCCAGCAAAGGCTGGTTCGAAAATTTCAAGAAGCGAAGTGGCATACACAATGCTGTAAGGCATGGTGAAGTTGCCAGTGCAGACAAACATGCAGCTGAAAAATTCCTAAGTGAATTCAAGGACTACATAGAGGCTGAAGGATTCGTCTCCCAACAAGTGTTTCATTGTGATGAAACAGGCCTCTTTTGGAAGAAAATGCCAAAGAGGACCTACATCACGCAGGAGGAAAAGGCACTGCCAGGACACAAGTCTAGGAAAGACAGGCTAACTTTCATATTGTGTGGTAATGCTAGTGTGGATTTCAAAGTGAAGTCTGTACTGGTGTATCACTCTGAAAATCCCAGTGTGTTCAAGAAAAACAGTGTCGCGAAGGCTAATTTGTGTGTGATGTGGAAGGCTAACAGTAAGGCATGGGTCATGAGGGACATTTTCCTTGATTGGTTCAACGAAGTGTTTGGCCCCAGTGTGAAGAAATACCTCCTGGAAAATAAATTGGAACTCAAGTGTCTCCTGGTAATGGACAATGCTCCTGCTCATCCTCCAGACTTGGAAGAGCAAATGGTGAGGGAGTTTAATTTCATCACAGTGAAGTTCTTGCCCCTTAATACCACTCCTCTTCTCCAGCAGATGGACCAGCAGATCATTTCCAACTTCAAAAAAATCTAAAACAAAGCAAAGCAATGTTTCAAAGGTGCTTCAACATAACCTCGGACTCTGAATTGACCAAGTTCCGGAAAGATCGCTTCAATATCGTACACTGCATAAACCTTATAGGTAAGGCTTGGCAGAGAGTGACTTCCAGGACGATGAACTCTGCTTGGAGAAAATTGTGGCCAGAATGTGTCCTTGACTAAGATTTTGAAGAGTGAGGCTGATCCTTAGGACCCTATGCCAGTTGTGGAATCTACTGTGGCATTGGGAAAGTCCATGGGGTTGGAGGTTAGTAGCAAGGATGTGGAAGAGTTGGTGGAGGACCACAGTGAAGAGCTAACCACTGAAGAGCTGCTAGACCTTAATCTGCAACAGCAACAGACCACAGATCAGGAAATTACTTCAGAGGAAGAAGAGAGAGGGAAGAAGTTGCTTTCTTCAGAGATTAAAGAGATGTGTGCAGTGTGGACTAGGATGGAAAAATTTGTGGAGGAACATCACCCTGACAAAGCTGTTGCAGGCCATGTATGCAACATGTTCAATGACAATGTCTTGTCTCATTCGAGGCAAATTTTAAAGAAATGCCAGAAACAGACCTTTCTGGAACAATTTTTTGATCAACAGGGGTCCAGGGACTCTCAAGCTAGTCCTAGTTGCATTAAAAAAGAAAGAAGGGAAGTAACCCAGGAAAAGGACTTGGTACCTGAAGTCTTTATGGAAGGGGATTCCCCTTCCAAGCAATAGTAATTCTTCCATCCTCTCCCCTCCTCCACACATCAACAACTCTATAACAAAGGTAAGTGTCAATTTATTATCAATTTATTCTTCATGTCTCATTGTTTTTTGTGTAGATAAATGCACATTTAATGTAAAAAAAATATTTTTTTAATACTTTTGGGTGTCTGGAATGGATCAATTTGATTTACATTATTTCTTATGGGGAAAATGGTTTTGAAAATCGTGAATTTTGAATTTCGGTGGACTCTCTGGAACGGATTAATCATGAAATTCAAGGGTCCACTGTACTCTGTTCTACAAATAGTCATCAGTTTCAATAAGAAGCTTCCTGTTATGAACACTAATGCAAAAATTCTAATTTTTTCCAGGAATTGAAAGCAAAGTTAAGACATGGCAAAACCCTCCAACTGGCCATAGCTAAAATAAGCCTTTAAATCTTTGCTAGCAAAAATGTGAATTAGTATATGGCAATTTTGGGAGCAGGCAAGAGTTTTCTGCACATATACACAAAAGATATACAGTGGAACCTCTGCTTACGAGTGCAAGTTTTTCCAGATACGAGCAGTTGCTCGGTCGATTTTTTGCTTCCAGACGGGAGCAAAATTTCCAGATGCGAGTAGGCCTCAAGGGAGGTTAATTGACACTGGTGAGGGGGCTCTTGCTCTTTATCTAGGGAACTGAATCTCAGTTGTTTGCTGGACTATCTTACTGAAACTTGGGCAATGTATGATGAAAAGATGCTTCTTAATGTGCACCAAAAATGAAAGAAATCTGACCATAAATAATGGAGTTCACTTCTCAGCCATTAGCCTCCCCTTAGCGGTATATTTTTGTATGGTTTTTATGGTTGTATTCTCATTTTATTTGGTCTCATGTGATAGAATGGAAGATATACTACAAAAATAAATATGATTTTAATTGGTTTCATGATGAAAAATACCTGGAAATTGAGCTCAAAATAGCAGGAATGTTCGATTCTTTGGCGACATCAGTGGTAGACATCATGAGGTAGCAGTGGCAGACAACAAAGCAGCAGTGGCAGACATCATGAGGTAGCAGTGACAGACAACATAAAGCAGCAGTGGCAGACATCATGAGGTAGCAGTGACAGACAACATGAAGCAGCAGTGGCAGACAACATGAAGCAGCAGTGGCAGACAACATGAAGCAGCAGTGGCAGACAACATGAAGCAGCAGTGGCAGACAACATGAAGCAGCAGTGGCAGACAACATGAAGCAGCAGTGGCAGACAACATGAAGCAGCAGTGGCAGACAACATGAAGCAGCAGTGGCAGACAACATGAAGCAGCAATGACAGACATGAGGTAGCAGTGGCAAAGTGTAGCATTAAGAGTGTAGCACTTATAAGTCACTCGGATTTTTTTGGGTTATCCTAGGATCTCTACACATGTAGTCAGGAGCAGGAATGGCTGCTGTGGTGGCCCTATAAACCCCAACAACAATGGCTGCTGTCACCACCACCAGCCACATACCTAATGACATGTAGTATTTTATTCATTCTAGTGTATATATCATGTTTCTATGTTATTAATATTGTTTATTATGTCATATTACATGAATTGTGATAGATAAATAAGCTATAGAGTTGATATTAGGGAAATTATTAAAGTATTTTCTCGTGCCAGGAATTCCACTGGAACAAATTAATTCCATTTCAATTAATTTAAATTAGGAAAATTGACTCTGCAAACAAGCAAATCCAGTTGCGAGCAAGGTCACAGAACGGATTAAACTCGTAAGTAGAGGTTCCACTGTACTGTTGAGAATTATCTTTTAGCAACCCTCCAAACATGCTGATTTGTTTTGAAAGAATAAAAAGCCACAATACCATGACGGAAACAATCTTTCATGCAATATCTAGAGTATTACTTACCGAAGCCTCTTGGGTCTGAATTACCATTGTGATATCCAGAAAATTTTGGATCAGATTCTGTACCCCAGTTGCTGAAAGATTACAAGGCATTAATTTTTTTTAAAATGTTTGTACAAATCTTATCAATGTGACTGGGTGATCAGAATTAATTATCCCAGACTGAAGGTTCAAATCCCAATCACTCCAATAAAAAGTTGGTGAAAATAGGTACACATGATTACTTGTGAAAAATCTGGTCACCTGTAATATACTCATTACTGATTTTGAGTTTTTCTACCCTTGCAGCCCACCCTGGAGTCAAGCTTTTCTGTTGATTACCAAGGCAGATCAATCAAACATTCTGAGCTTTCATAAAAAAAATACAAGACCCTAGATAAATAAAAAGGCACAATACTGTGACAGGAACAATACACAAATAGGCTGCACATAGAAGAGAGGAGCTTAGGATGACATTTCGATCCAACTTGGACTATTTACAAAATCACATTGTGACTTTGTAAATGGTTCAAGTTAGACTGAAACGTTGTCCTAAGCTGCTCTCTCCTATGTGTGGGCTATTTGTGTAAAAACCTAGATGTTCATCAATCATTAAAAGTCATATAGCACCTAGGGTATTCAGCACCTGGGAAACGGGAGACAATCATATTTGATCTGAGGGAGAGTACAATGTAAACCTAATTCCATGGAGAGTAGGTTTATGGAGGAGAAGGGAAGATTTAGAAAGGGTAGGGGGATATATAGACCAAGTGTTTACATATATAATACAATATATATATATTTATATATTTTTTTTTTTCAACAAGTCGGCCATCTCCCACCGAGGCAGAGTGACCCAAAAAAGAAAGAAAATCCCCAAAAGAAAATACTTTCATCATCATTCAACACTTTCACCACACTCACACATTATCACTGTTTTTGCAGAAGTGCTCAGAATACAACAGTTTAGAAACATACGTATAAAGATACACAACATATCCCTCCAAACTGCCAATATCCCAAACCCCTCCTTTAAAGTGCAGGCATTGTACTTCCCATTTCCAGGACTCAAGTCCTGGCCGTTTCCCACCAAGGCAGGGTGGCCCGAAAAGGAAAAACTTTCACCATCATTCACTCCATCATTGTCTTGCCAGAAGGGTGCTTTACACTACAGTTTTTAAACTGAAACATTAACACCCCTCCTTCAGAGTGCAGGCACTGTACTTCTCATCTCCAGGACTCAAGTCCGGCCTGCCGGTTTCCCTGAACCCCTTCATAAATGTTACTTTGCTCACACTCCAACAGCACGTCAAGTATTAAAAACCATTTGTCTCCATTCACTCCTATCAAACATGCTCACGCATGCCTGCTGGAAGTCCAAGCCCCTCGCACACAAAACCTCCTTTACCCCCTCCCTCCAACCTTTCCTAGGCCACCCCTACCCCCCCTTTCCCTTTCCCCTACAGATTGATACACTCTTGAAGTCACTCTGTTTCACTCCTTCTCTCTACATGTCCGAACCATCTCAACAACCCTTCCTCAGCCCTCTGGACAACAGTTTTGGTAATCCCGCACCTCCTCCCACACCACACATTGCCCTCAGACATGACATCTCCACTGCCTCCAGCCTTCTCCTCGCTGCAACAATCATCACCCCTTCTTCACACCCATATAAGACGTTGGTAAAACTATACTCTCATACATTCCCCTCTTTGCCTCCAAGGAACAAAGTTCTTTGTCTCCAAAGACTCCGAAGTGCACCACTCACCCTTTTCCCCTCATCAATTTATGATTCACCTCATCTTTCATAGACCCATCCCTGACACATCCACTCCCAAATATCTGAATACATTCACCTCCTCCATACTCTCTCCCTCCAATCTGATACCCAAAATCTTTCATCACCAAAACTTTTTGTATCCTCAAAAACCTTACTCTTTCCTGTATTCATTTTTAAATTTTCTTTTTTTGCACACCCTACCAAATTCATCCACCAATATATATATATATATATATATATATATATATAAAATATATATATATATATATATATATATATATATAATTTTGTGTAAGATGACCATGCTATATGACAAGAGTATAGAAGAGTGTATAAAGGACTAATTATTGCGTAAAGATTCACTGGATAATATACTCTATATTATGGAAAACCTGGATTATGTACAGTAATGCATATTCTTTATTTTATAAGCAAATGAAAGTCTCACTAAAAGTAAGCTTTTAGTGGAAGTTTAATTTCTATCCTAAACTCCTATCAGAATTGTTAGGCCTGAATCCTCTAAAAACAAGAACTAAGCACTAGTATTTACCATAAGGTATAACAGCGTGTAAAAAAAAAAAAAAATTTCAGGCCAACTTTTTTTCCACCTGGAACCGAGCCAGAATGATAAAGCTTATAAAGATAAATGATAAAGATAATTATTATGAAGGTAAAGATATAATAATATACAGCCCTATCCTACTTTTACTAATTAAAAATATTTTGCATACTGGGAGAATTCAAAATAGGTTAATTTTAAAACAATGTTGATAATAAAATGCAACAAATACAGAAAAAGAAAATCAAACTAAATAAAAGATAGGTAGAGGAGAGAGGAAATGTTTTGGACAGTTGAGGAAAGTAGATTTTCTTTAGAAAAACATCTGGATTTGTAGTCTCCTGATTCAATAACTATTTTATGAGTGAGCCATCACCCACCACTGCAGTTTCAACTCTACCAAATCATTTATCTATATACATGTACTGTAACACCACATAAAATTTCTAAGTATTTATGTGAACTGCAATAATCCCTGCCATTGTGATCTTTATATTTTTACCAAAATAATTACAGCTAAACTTTAATGAATTGCAAAGACATCAAATTGTAAATGAGCAAAGCATAAATATTTTATTTTTATTTACAGTAAAAACATAGAGACAACTGTCTACTATAGTAAACACACAGTACAAACACCCCACCAGTGGTGGTGAAACTGAATTTGAAAAACTTTTCTTGAAATTTAACCCTTTGACTGTTTCGGTCGTATATATACGTCTTACGAGCCACCGTGTTTGACGTATATATACTCAAAAATTCTAGTGGCTTCAAATCAAGCAGCAGAAAGCTGGTAGGCTCACATGCGAGAGAATGGGTCTGTGTGGTCAGTGTACACCATATAAAAAAAAATCCTGCAGCATGCAGTGCATAATGAGAAAAAAAAAAAACTGACTGTTTTTGGATTAAAATTCCGACGTTGTGGTGTATTTTTGTATAGTATTTATGGTTGTATTCTCGTTTTCTTAGTCTCATTTGATAGAATGGAAAACATATTATAGAAATAGAGGTAATATTGATTAGTTTTACTATGAAAATAACCTTGATATGGAGCTCAAAGTAAGGGAAATGTTTGATTTTCCCAATGTTCAAAAGTAAATAAATTGTCTAATAAATGTTCAACTAGCCATTCTAATATACAGTCATGAATGAGTTGACATTATTTATACAATTACAACATTGCAGCAGTCTGCATAACAGTAAATCTTCTATTTTTTGTTTGAATAAAAATTCAAAATAGAAAGCAAGAGTAATATCAGAGGGGCCTGGAGACATGACTGATGAACAAAAAAAAACGTTATTTTAGAGCCAGGAATGTCCGTATTGCTCATTCTGGACCCCATTTTGAAATTGGCATATTTTTTAATTTGCATGAAATTGGCCAAATTGCAAATTTCTGACCACGTTATTGGGTAGTTGTAATCAGTAAATGGGCAGTTTCTTGTACTCAATTGATAGAACAAATGGAGTTCTAAAGAAACAGCTACGAGTTTGGTCGACTGGAACAATGGAATTAGCCGAAAATAGGGCTCAATGTGGGCGAAATCACCGATTCATAAATATCGCCGAGGTTGCTAACTTCGCAAGAGCATAATTATGTCAGTTTTTCATAAAATTTTGTTCTTTTGGTGTCATTACAATCGGGAAAAGATTCTCTATCATTTCATAAGATTTTTTTTTTTTTTTCAAAAATTTTGCGACACCAGGAGGCACCTCAGGATTTGGGGTTGCGACAGTCAAGGGGTTAAAAAAAAAAATGATATAAATACATCCTCTGTATCCTATATTTTAAATAGAAAAACATTTATTTACCTAAGCTATTTAAGAATCTCAACCTCCAAAACATTCTATGTTAATAAGTTTAACCCTTAAACTGTCCAAACGTAGATCTACATTTCTAGCGCTACGCGAGCAAACATAGATCTACGTTTGTACAGTTTAAGGGTTAATATCACAAAAATGGCCAAGATATTTATCCCTGCTATGACATTCTAAATGAGTGTCTACAAAACCATATTTAACACAGAGTTAGAGAAAAAATCTGAAACATTCCAGCCTTTCCTTACTGAAAGCAGGTAAAGAGAAAAAGTGAATTTTACTTTTCAAACAGTTATTTTTTCATCAAAGTAAATAAACAAGAAAAGTGACTGACTGTGTGAGCTCCAGGGTAGCCTTTTGTGAAAAGCACCATTTTGTTCTCTCATCTTCATCCTGTGGAATGTCTTTAGCCAATTCAAAGCCCATAAAATATAGAGAAAATTTCATGGATGGAAAATCTAGCTTTTTCAGGAGGTGCATGCCTAATACTCGAGTGTAGAAGTCCAAGGAGGCTTTAGGATCTTTGATGCGAAACATTGTTTGCTGGAAGATGAAGTCCTGTAGAAAGAAAATAATTAAACAAGGCATTACAAGAATTACCAAGCTGTATTCATAATGTACGTATTTGCACTAGAATATGGTTTGGGTGATTAAGCCCTAATTATGTGCGATAAATGTTTGTTTACACTGCTACCAACAGTGTCAAGCATTCCTAAGAAGCAAGGTAACCACTGTTCACTCTATAAAAATTCTTCCCTTCAAGATAAAAATATCTTTAGCTAACATGTATTACTGTACAGCATTTAATTTTATATAGCATTCTGCATTTTTGTTGCTTATGTTTGAGTGAATTTAAACCTGATATCATTAGAGTCCAGACTTGTGAAGCTTGCAGGACAAGTGTGTTTATGGCTTGAAAATCTATCCCTGGAATATTTAACATTGCATTTGCCATTGTTTCTTCTGTTTTCCTGTGGTGTTAAATAATATACCACTTCCAGTAATTTTAATTATATTAACTGACATTTTTACCAAATTCACATAGGTAAATGTGATTCATAATCTAATATGCTGTGAAAAGTATTTACTTTGAAATTTTCCATCAAGAATATTTTGTGTCATCAATGAGCAAAATTAACTTAAGATAGAGATTTGGCACAAAGAGGTGGTACAGCTATATACTCCTAAGAACTTGAATGTATTACATCTACTTGCACTAGGGATGAATATGGTGAATATACATTTGCTAAATTTAAATCCAAAAACCTAAAAAAAACTAACAGTTGGAGCAGTCTACAGAGTACCTCATCAATATTTACTTATTTAGTGAAAACCTAAGAAACATGATAACTGACACTGAGATGAATAAACACCCCATACCACGGGCGGGGATAGAACCCGCGATTGCGGGTTCTATCCCCGCCCGTGGTATGGTCTGTTTGCAATCGTGTCATTACGATTTTGCAAGTCATGAATAAACACCACCTGATACAGGTGACTTCAACATAAACCTCATCCATGACCATGACTCACAAGTAACTAAATTCACAAATACCCTGAGCAACTGCTTACTTCTGCCAACTATAACAAAACCTACACGAATCTGAGTCAAGTGCCTCATTACCTGACCATATCTGGACAAACACTATATCTCCCATTAAAAGCAGGCATAATCACAGATAACACCAGTGACCACTATCCCAACTTTCTCATAACCAGCTTATGTAAATCGCCCCAGGACACAAGTAAAATCACATTTCGAGAACATGATGAGTCATCAGTTAACTATTTCAGCACTAAGTAACACTGACTGGCAGAGTGACCTAGCTATCAACCCCGATATTGATGAATGTGTCAACGTATTAAAAAAAAAAAAAAAAAACTATAACAAGCATTGCCCAATAAAAACAAAGCAGATCACAGCAAAGAGACTAAACATCCCCTGGCTTACAAACACCATACTCAAATCTAGTGATAAAAAACATCTACGGTGGACCCTCAGTTTTCATGTTTAATCCGTTCCAGAGCGATTGGCAAAAACAGAAACCATTTTCCCCATAAGAAATAATGTAAATCCAATTAACCCTTTGAGGGTTTTCGTCGTACTAGTACGTTTTACGCGTAGGGGTTTTTGACGTACTAGTACTCATAAATTCTAGCGGCCTCAAATCTAGTGGGAGAAAGCTGGTAGGCCTTCATATGAAAGAATGGGTCTATGTGGTCAGTGTGCACAGTCTAAAAAAAATCCTGCAGCACACAGTGCATAATGAGAAAAAAAAAACTTTGACCATTTTTTTTGAATAAATCAGCGACTTTGCAGTGTATTTTCGTATGGTATTTATTGTTGTATTCTAGTTTTCTTGGTCTCATTTTATAGAATGGAAGACATATTACAGAAATTGAGATGATTTTGACTGGTTTTACAAAGAAAGGTGCCTTGAAATTGAGCTCAAAGTAGCAGAAATGTTCGATTTTTACCAAACTTCAAAAGTAAACAAATCGTGCCAAGCGTGCAATACACGTCAACTGGTGAGTCTAATATTCTTTCACAAGTGCACCAATAATATTTATACCATTTTTTACACTAATGCAGTAGTCTGCATAACAGTAAATCTTATATTTTTTGTGAAAATAAAAATTCAAAGTGGAAAGCAAAAGAATATAAGAGGGGACTTGAGACATGACTAATGACTAGAGGAAATGTTATTTTAGTGCCAGGAATGTCTTTCTTGTTTATTCTGGACCCTATTCCGAAATTGGCATCTTTTGAAATTTGTGTGAAATTGGCAAAATTGCTAAATTCTGACCACTGTACTGGATAGTTGAATTTCATAAATGAGTGGTTTCTTGCATCCATTCGATAGAAAAAATGGAGTTCTAGCGAAATACAGTGGACCCCCGCATAACGGACGCCTTGCATAACGGACAATCCGCATAGCGGACGCTTTGATCGCTAAAATTTTGCCCCGCATAGCGCCCAAAAACCCACTCAGCGGCCTTCGTCCGAGACGCGTCCAATGTGCGGCCTGAGCCAGCCTCATATGTTCCGCCGGTGGCATTGTTTACCAGCCAGCCTCCGCGGTAACATTCAAGCATACAATCGGAATATTTCGTATTATTACAGTGTTTTCGGTGCTGTTTCTGGAAAATAAGTGACCATGGGCCCCAAGAAAGCTTCTAGTTCCAACCCTACAGCAATAAGGGTTAGAATTCCTATAGAAATGAAGAAGAGATCATTGATAAGTATGAAAGTGGAGTGCGTATCACCGACCTGGTCAGGTTGTACAAGAAACCCAAATCAACCATCTCTTCTATTGTGGCCAAGAAAACGCAATCAAGGAAGCTGTTCTTGCCAAAGGTTTAACTGTGTTTTCGAAACAAAGATCGCAAGTGATGGAAGATGTTGAGAGACTCTTATTGGTGTGGATAAATGAAAAACAGCTAGCAGGAGATAGCGTCTCTCAAGCGATCATATGTGAAAAGGCTAGGAAGTTGCATGAGGATTTAATTAAAAAAATGCCTGAAATATGATGTTTGTGAGTGAATTTAAGGCCAGCAAAAAGGTTTGGGTTTTGAGAGATTTAAAGGGTTAGGGCATCCTGTGTGATAAGGCATGGTGAGGCTGCCAGTTCGGACCACAAAGCGGTAAAAAATTGTGAGGAATTAAGGAGTACTAGAAATGAAGGACTAAAACCTAAACAATTTTTAAATTGGAGAAACGGGCCTGTTCTGGAAGAAATGCCAAGCAGGACCCATTATCGGGAGGAAAAGGCACCCCGGAAAACCCTAGGGAAAGACAGGCTTTTTGTTGAGTGTGCCAATGTAGTGGTGATTGAAAGTTAAGCCTTTATTGTGTATCACTCTGAAACTCCGAGCGTTAGGAAAAAAGAATTCCTCAAGGTAATTTGTGTGTGCTGTGGAGACAAACAGTAAGGGGGGTCACTGGGATTTTTTTTTATAACTGGTTACCCCATGCTTTCCCCCCCAATGTAAAAGATTCCCAAATGAAAAAAAAATTAGAATTTAAGGGCCCTCTGGTGTTAGACAATCCCCCTGGTCATCCTAAGACGTGGCAGAGCGATTTAGGGGGACTGGGGTCTTAAGGTGAATTTTTTTGCCTCTAATCCCACCCCTTTCCCCCTCACCCCCATGGCCAGCAGGTCATTTCCAACTTCAAGAAAATGTAACAAAAACTCTGTTTCAAAAGTGCTTTGAAGTGACCCCCAGACACTCGATTGGGGCTTAAAAAAGTTTTTGGGAAAGGGTACTTTAATATCCTCAATTGTGTAAAACCCTTTAGGTAAGGCTTGGGAGGGAGTGCTAGAGAACCTTTAACTCTGCTTGGGAAAAAACTGTGGCCATAAAGTGTAGACAAAAGGGATTTTGAAGGGTTTTAGGCTAACCCTGAGAGGAGTATACCAGTTGAGGAATCAATTGTGGCATTGGGGAAGTCCTTGGGGTTGGAGGTTAGTGGGGATATGTGGAAGAGTTGGTGGAGGAGGACAATGAAGAACTAACCACTGATGAGCTGATAGATCAACTCAAGAGCAAGAGGCCAGACCTGCGGAAACTGGTTCAAAGGAGGGGAGAGAGAAATTGAAGGAATTGCCTACTTCAAAGATTAAGGAAATGTGTGCAAAATGGCTTGAAGTGCAAACCTTTTTTGATGAAAATCACCCTCACACAGCTATTGCAAGCCGTGCTGGTGACTGTTACAATGACAATGTTGTGAACCACTTTAGACAAATCATAAAGGAACGAGTGGTACAGGCCACTATGGACAGATATGTTGTGCGAAAGAAGTCCAGTGACTCTGAAGCTGGTCCTAGTGGCATTAAAAGAAGAAGGGAAGTAACCCCAGAAAAGGACTTGCCTCCTCAAGTCTTAATGGAAGGGGATTCCCCTTCTAAACACTAACACTCTCTCTCCCCTCCTCCCATCCCATCAATCATCACCAGATCTTCAATAAAAGTAAGTGTCATGTAATTGTGCATGCCTTTTTCAGTTTGTGTGTACTAAAATTAACATTTTTTTGTGGTAAAAAAAATTTTTTTTCATACTTTTGGGTGTCTTGCACGGATTAATTTTATTTCCATTATTTCTTATGGGGAAAATTCATTCACATAGCGAACATTTCGCATAACAGCCAGCCCTCTTGCACGGATTAAGGTCGCTATGCGGGGGTCCACTGTATTCATGTTTTTTGTCGACTAGTACAGTGAAATTGGCCGAAAATGGGGCTCAAAGTGGGCAAAATTGCCGATGCGTAAACATCGCCAAGACCGCTAACTTTGCGAGAGCATAATTCCGTAAGTTTTCTATCAAATTTCAAACTTTTGGTGTCTTTATGATCGGGAAAAGATTCTCTATCTTTTCATAAGAGAAAATAATTTTTTTTTTTTAAATTTGGCCGACCCTGAGAACGAGTTTCGGAGAGGGCCTGTCGACCCTCAAAGGGTTAACCCTTAAATGGTCCAAACAGATCGACGTTCAAATCTGTAGTGCTCCAAAAGTAGATCTACGTTTTTTTTTACATATTTTCAAATACAGTATAACAA